CAATCCTATTTTGCCTCTACGACCGACAGATTTATGACAACAGATCGAGCAAAATCGTCAGTAGAGCTTGAGAATTTGAGAAAAAAAGTTGCTGAATTGGAGACTCGACAGAAGCTGCATGAAGATCCTCCATGGTGACTCTCTACATCAACACCTGTCACTATAGAAGCCGATTCTCCCCCCACGTCCGAGTTAACTTCAGAACCATTACCCGGAAAGGTGAAGGTTCCTCAAATCGGTTTATGTGATGGAACTTCTGACCCTGACGCACATCTCGGGCAATATACGTCTTGGATGGATTTACATGGAGCGACAGATGCATTGAGGTGTTGAATGTTTTCGCTCACTCTGGAGCCTCGAGCACAAAAATGGTATCATTCGTTACCAGAATGGTCTATTTGGAATTGGCAACAGTTAAGGTCAGCGTTTCGATCACATTTTATCGGCGCTCAAGTCTGTCTTATTTCGAAAGAATCAATTACCAATATCGTTCAAAAGGAGAATGAAAGCGTAAAAGATTATATTGACCGAGTTCAGAATATAGAGCCATGCCATCCCGAGACGCTTCTTGTTTCTGCGATCGCTGCCTTAAACCAAATTCGTTATTTCGGTGGACACTCTGTCAGAATAAATCGAGTAACTTTCAAGAATTTCTTGCTCGTGCCCAACAGAAAATAATTGCTGAGGAGTCAATTTCGGTCCCAAATTTTAGCTTTACTCCCAAAGAATTAACACCAGATGGAGACAACAAAAAGAAAAACAATAAAAAGATTCCCAATAGCAAATTTGGGAAAATTCAGTTTGGTGGACCATCGAAAGGAGATTCCGGCGATCCCGAAGTACGAATGGCAAAGAAACAGTATGCTGAGGACCGGAAGCTGGGATACCAAAATGTCTATACAGCTGGAGCAGCAACTATCTTTGAAGAGTTGAAAGGGAAAGGAATTATACCTGACCCCCGACCCATTAGGACTCCTGAAGATCAATTAGATAAATCTAAGTACTGCGCTTATCACAAGTCACCGGACCATAATACTGATGAATGTCTCAGCTTACTGTCTGTATTATTAAGACTGATAGAGAATCCACAAGTAAAGAGATTTGCCAAAAATTCCAATTTCAAATGCAAAACGCGGCCTACTGTTGTTCTTGATGACGACGATGATGAGGCAGAAATAAACCCAAAAAGAGTCCGACCTGGTGATAAAGAGGTCTTTATGCTTACTCCAGAAGAATCCACGAATAAAATGGTCAAACAAACTCAGTTTGACTTCTCGTCTACATATGGAGATTTCATTCCCCGAGTTAATACGAATGATGGTAGACCACCGTTATCCCGACGTCAAGCTAAAGCATATGCCCGAGGAGCCTATTATTTGGGAAAACGAGTCGTTACAACCGATTTACGAGACACTATAAACTCTCGTAATTGTCCAATCACTTTCACTGCAGATGATGCCAATTTGTTCGCTCATCCTCATACAGATGCGTTAATAGTTACTGCGCAAATTGGACACATTCCAGTACATCGAATCCTGGTAGATACTGGACCTTATTCGAGCATCCTCATGTATCAGGCCTTCGAAAAGATAGGAATTGACCTGACGGAGATCAAACCATGTGATGATAGAATACAAGGGTTTAATGGGAGTCTTACATGCCCAATCGGGGAGATCACGCTTCCAATACGTTTTGGAACTATTGGATCGGTTTCTAAAGTTATCATGGAGACCTTCAAAGTTATGGACATAAGAAATGAATACAATGATTTAATTGGAAGAACAACACTTTATAAACTCCGAGCTGCGCTATCAATTTTCCATTACGCTAATACATTCCCCACGACCAATGGAGAAGATACGCATTATGGGGACCAACGAGAAGCCCGAGAGTTATTGTCAATAACCCCCTCCAGAGAAATTCATACGATCGAAACCATCAAAAAAAGTCTTAACGATCCATAAGGGAATCCTGGTGAGTCTAGCGAATTTCTTTAGGAACCAACGTTATTTCCTAACAGAATGAAGCAACGAGGAGATCCAAACTCTGAGAAGACAAAATCGACCCCAGGCCTCAAACAAAGTTCTGAGGATAATAAATCACAAGATCAGGGTAGGCGACCGGGAAAAGAACCGCTAAAAGAAGACGACGATCTCGACCCTCGAACGGTATTTAAAGAAAAAAAATTATGATCGAGTTGAACCTATTGAGGAGATAGATACTGTTTTCCTTGATGGACCGACATCATCCAAGTCGGTTAGGATTGGCGCTAATTTGAAAGATCCAATTCGGACACAACTTGTTCAATTCCTTCGAGATAACTCTGATGTTTTTGCTTGGAAACATGAAGACAGGAAAGGAATCGATCCCAAAGTGGCTAGCCACCGTCTACATCTTGATCGAACTGTAAAACCAGTTGTACAAAAATGGCGCAAGTTCGGTCCTGAAAGACAGAAAGCTTTAGAAGAAGAAGTGAAAAAGTTGATCGATAATAAGTTTGTTAAAGAAGCCAAATACCCGACTTGGGTATCCAATCCCGTGTTGGTTAGAAAAAGCAAAGGTCTATGGCGGTTATGTATTGACTTCTCCGATCATAATAAAGCCTGTCCTAAAGACAACTACGCTTTGCCTCATATTGATTATATGGTAGATGCCACTTTAGGGCATGAACTTATGAGTTTTATGGATGCTTATTCCGGGTACAACTAGATCCCGATGGACCCAGAAGACGCCAAACACACATCTTTCTATTCAGCTCGCGTTTTATATTGCTATACGATGATGACCTTTGGCCTGAAAAATGCTGGGGCCATATATCAAAGATTGGTTAATAAGATGTTTGCCAGACTTATCGGCCACACGATGGAGGTGTATGTTGATGACATGTTGGTGAAGTCCATTCATGCCAACGACCATATTGTTCACTTGCAAGAAATGTTCGCTATCCTCCGAGATTATTCAATGGTGTTAAATCCCAAAAAGTGCACCTTTGGAATTGGATCGGGAAAGTTTCTAGGTTACATGGTATCTCAAAGAGGCATTGAAGCCAACCCTCAGAAAATACAAGCCATTCTTGACCTCACTCCGCCAACTTCGGTCAAAGGGGTGCAAGCTCTTACCGACCGACTTGCCGCATTAAATCGTTTCATTTAAAAATCCACCGATCATTGTAAACCCTTCTTTGAAGCCATAAAAAAAAGTAAACGATTCGAGTGGACCGAAGACTGTCAACAAGCTTTGGTCAATATGAAAGAAGTACTCACCCATCCTCCTACTTTACAAAAGCCATTTTCGGATGAAGTACTTTATTTATATCTTGGCGTGAGCCAAACCGCCGTAAGTGTCGTCCTCATTCGAGAAGAAGGATGCCAGCAAGCACCGATATACTATGTTAGCAAAGCTTTGCATGATGCCGAAACACGAAATCCTCCCATGGAGAAATTGGCCTTTGCCTTAATAAATGCTGCCCGAAAATTGGGACCCTACTTTCAAGAACATACCATTATCATTTTAACCCATATCCCCTTAAACAGATCCTTTCATAAACCCGATACCTCCGGCAGAATGATCAAATGGGCCGTAGAACTCGGACAATATGATATTCAGTATAAACCGAGAACTGCCATAAAACCTGGTACCCAAGTTCATTCCGACTTTATAGCTGAATTTACCCCGACTATTTAGGAAATAAGAAACAAACACGTCTGGGCGCTATATGTTGATGGGTCTTCAACGTCATATCGAGCTGGAGGTGGAGTGGTTCTAACCGACTCGGATGGCAAACTTTTCTTTCATTCGACAAAGTTCATGTTTCCTGCTACTAACAGTGAAGCTGAGTACGAAGCCTTAATCTGCGGGCTGAATCTAGCCGAGTCAAAGCATATAACAACACTTAAGATCTTTTCTAATTCCCAGCTTCTTTTCAACCAAATTAACGGAGGATTTGAAGTTAAGGAACCTCGGTTGATGCCCTACTTAACCCTTGTGAGAGAGAAGCTTTCAAAAATTGATGTTCAAGTTGAACACATACCGCGAACTTCCAATGTCCGGGCTGATGCTCTATCAAAATTAGCGGCCACAAGAGGAACATAAAATATTGAATCTATTCAAGTTTTGGTCAACAAGAACAACCCTCCGTTGCAGTTGAAAAAATTATGAATGCCGAGGGTCATCCTTGGAAGAATCCGACGTGGATGGATCTAATTATCTCTTATTTAAGAATCGGGGCCTTACCCGATAACACAAAAGAAGCACGATCTCTCCGAATTTGATCTGCTCGATTCACTCTTGATGGAGATATTCTGTATAAGAGAGGGTATTCAATGCCCTTAATAAAATGTTTGTGTGAACGAGGGTCTAAATATGTCCTTCAGAAAGTTCATGAAAGCGTCTGTGGAGCTCATCTTGGAGCTCGCTCTCTAGCGTACAAAATTTTATGACAAGGCTATTATTGGCCAACTTTGAAATCAGACACCTCCCAATGGGTACGAAGATGTCTGAAATGCCAAGTGTTTGCACCTAACGTCAACCAACATCCCGAAGAAATCAAGTCTATTTATAGTCCCTGGCCATTTGCTAAATGGGGAATTGATTTGATAGGACCGTTGCCCACTGCGAAAGGCGGAGTCCAGTTCGCTATCGTTGCGGTAGATTACTTTTTGAAGTGGGCTGAAGCCGAACCGTTAGCCACCATCACTTAGCAGAAAGTAATAGATTTCATATAGAAATCGATTATTTGTCGATTTGGAGTTCCGAACTCCCTTATAACCGATAATGGCCGTCAATTCGAAGGAAACAAGCTTGATACTTTTTGCGAACAATATGGAATCAAACATTTCTTCTCAACTCCTTATCACCCACAATCAAACGACAAGTAGAAGCAGTAAACAAAATCATCAAGAATGGTTTGAAAACCCGACTCGACGATGCAAAAGAAAATTGGCCTGAAGAATTGCCACATGTCCTGTAGGCCTATCGTACTACTTCTCGAGTATCAACTGGAGAAACGCCTTTCTTGCTAACCTACAGATCATAAGCAATGGTGCCTGTTGAAATTGGATCTCCCACTTATCGAATCAAACATTTCGATGAAGACTCGAACTCAAAAAATATCAAGGCTAATCTTGACTTACTAGAAGAAACTCGGGCTTATGCCGAGATCAAGAATGCTGCTTATAAGCGGCGGAATAAAAAGTATATCAAAGCGAAAGTCAGACCTAGGACATACCGAGTTTGAGACTTAGTTCTTAAAAGAGTCACTGGACCGGATCCAGGGCCCATGAAATCGAGATGGGAAGGACCCTTTAAAGTCAGTCAAGTATTACCGAAAGGGGCATATAAACTTGAATATCCTGATGGCACTCAACATCAATATCCTTGGAAAGCGGTTTTTGTCAAGAAATATTATCAGTGATAAGCCACTCAAGATGTAACTTTTTCTTATCTTTTGCCAGTCGTGTGTTCCTACTTCGTGTTTAAATAAAGGATGTGTTCTTTCCTTTAC